AAAACATCTGAAAGACCACCTATTACGAAACTAAAGGAAAATCTACTGAGAGCCGTGGGCTACCGAAAATATAGTTACCGAGAGCCGATGCTGTTTGCACCGACTAGATATCACCTAGATCAATAATCATTGTTTTCGATGATATGTTGACAGTTGATTTTCCAAACGGCTGGGGAAGTTACCCCTATAACAAAACTACTCCAGTGCTGATAGCTTTTCCACCAATTTTAGCGAAACATTTTTTTTATCAAAGTTGGATTGTATGATGACAGTGCACAGTTACGATAGGCACCCAAATTCAAACAGCTTGATGGAAAAGCGACGTATACTGTTAAAGCTCATGTCATCACATAAAGATAGTACAGTGTCATTTGTAAGTGCTTTTGTGAATAAAAATTTGATATGCAAGTATCCTCTCGAATAAAGCTAGCTAGGTGCATCACCGATTCAAGTTTCTGAATGTGTCATTTTTGAAAGTAACACTGAGTTCAGTTGCACATTGACAAAATCAGCCACAGTGGAATACCCCGTTTGTGAGTCTCCAATAGGTTTGACAGCTGCAACATCTGACAACCTGTCAACTTGAGAAGTTTGAAATGCGACTGGCTGATGACGTTTGTACTAAAAAACTTTAAGGTGCTGTTATTTGTACCTCACGAACAACTTATTTGCCAACTCTGGCTTCCTTATTGAATTTTGCCGGAACTTATACCATAGATTCTAACCTTATAATTTGATCAGCTGGATACCAAGGACATTCATTGTGGTACACTGTCACCAGGTTCCTGTTCACTTTTTGGTCGATAAATGGCTGAAGTCATTCTGTTGATGAAATATCGTCTTGTTTAGTCGATATGACCACGAATTCGCTTTTACGACCGACCAGTTCTTCCTCAATTTCTAAAGAAATAAGTTGCAACTCCGGAACCGGTCATGCAAGGCGTCAAACAGTTTTGGGTCAATAAGTGGGTCAGTTCTTTCGAAAGCTGACTACACTTTATAACAAATGAAAACTGTTCTGTTTGTGTCTGGGTAATTCAGTTACAGACACGGAGTGAGTGAATTCGCCTCATTGTGTCTCGAAACGAAATGTTTGTTAAATCAATGCTGCTTTGGTGATGCATTCACCGCAAATGTTGATGAGATTATTTGTTCACACCTTTTTATTCTAATGTATGCACTTAATAACAGTGAACGCAACCCAATATAACTTACACAGTAGTCCACCGTCGGCTTGTCGTTTCAAGCTACTTAATGTGATTTAATTGTAAACAAGTGTTAACTACTCAACACTGTCCTTAATAGCAAGAGCTTAAATGTAGCTTCTCACTCATTCCGCTTGGCGAACGTTGTTTCCGATCCTCTCCATTCTGGAAGACATGTCCTAGACCCAACGTTCGTTCAGCGGTCCAAACGACTTTTTGCATACCTCTTTGCTGGTAATAGAGAAGTTGGAGTGGAGACCGGACGTTCATTGTCACGAAGACTCATTAACATCTAAAGAAGCTATAACGCTGAAGGTTTTTGATGCTGATTCTATGTTTTACTGATAGCTAAACAAAAACAATAAACAAGAAGCTAACACGCTATTATTAAATATAAGAAAGTACTGATTTATTTGGGTGGTTTATCGACAACCTTTGAATTAATGGCCTATTCCCATGACATTTTAGTGGCTTTCACAGATCCTCAGGCTGTTGTCCTCTAGTTGTGGATGAGTTGATCAGACAAACGTTAGACAGAAGATGTAAGATTCGGAATTAGAGACTTGGAATAAGCCTACAAATAGCATTTGGATTGCAACCTCCCGCGTGAGTAATTAGGATAAGAACTCAGACTAGTTGTAGTAGGCAGTTATTCTTCATGAGATGACAAACTGGATTCATGGATGTACATCAGTAGCAAAGAAGTCACACTTCGTCAATGACTGACACCGATGGTACATGCAATGTCACAGGACAAAGGACTTGACGAGTACCAAAAGATTTAACGTTGAAACTGTTCGTTCAATCGTGATATGGTACGTTAAGGCGACGTTAGATTTATCTCTTGTTAGGTCGTCTGTTGTGTTAGAGTTTGGATGACCAGCGAATCGAGTAGATTTTCAACAGAGGAAACATGCCTGTTCTGTCGTTGCTTTGAAGCTGACTTGAAAAACATAACTATAGCGCTTTAATCTTCTGAGACTCAACTAATCTTCTCAGTCACTTATGAGTAGTACATTTTTTTCAGACCAATTTAGCAACATTTTGCCGGAAGAAATTTTATTGGATAGTGATAACACAGACGAACCTGCTAGTCACTAAACGTAAGTATTAATCCTGTTGACTGTTCTACTAAAATACAATTCTTATTCTATGCACCTTTACCTTAAAGTTTGTAAATTGTACCAGGCATGAAGTAGGCATGAAGCTGCAGATCCCCAGCCTGTACTGTACGTGGTAAACGCCAAACTGCTCACTGTCAAATATCCACAAGCTAACCTTTCCGAGAGAGTTTTGTATAATCTGTTAGTATAACACAAAGAAGTCATAGGCTGTTTGGAAATACGATAGTATTCTTTTTGCCTGGGTACAGACGTTTACGATAACATTCGAACGTAATCTCTCTCTGTAAGGATCGATAAATAATTACAGTACTTGGCAAATCAGTGAAGCATCCGTAGGGTTCAAATAGCTCACAGAAGATCAGATTATACCAATAACATTTGTGATTTCGCAAACGATACCATCTTCTTATACTTCTTTAAATATATCGATAAACCTTTAACACGTAACTGTAAGGAGTTGATCGTTGCTGTGACACTGTAAGCGCAGAAAATACATCGCCTGACCGAAATCGTTTGTCGTGGCTTTTGTACTGAGACACGTGTACAAATGAGCAGGAGACCAACAACAGCTAAGACTGAAGCGAGCACGAGAAAGTATACTTTGGAAGAGGAGGGACAAACCATTCCAAGTGTATTAGTCAGCGCATGATGAACATTAGTGAGTAGGCACGCGAGAAGGAAATTAATCGATCAAATGCCACAAAAAACCAGTCGTTCAAGTTAAACGGTTAGTGTGGTATATGAAAGTTTACTAAACTCATCTTGAATGCATTGTTTTGTGAATAACGTTAGAAATTAACTTGTTTACTGCTGACATACTCAGAAGTGGAGGAGTCAATTTGAAGTCAGCCTTTAGAGGGTTGGTTGCTAGGTATTTCAGACTGGAAAACAAGGTCGAAAAAGTGGACCATATTCAGTTAAAACGTGAGACAAAAAGGTCTATAAAAGTTTTTCTCAAACTACACTAGTAGTTGTTAGTAACGTCTCTATCGTCTGTTCTTAAGAAGTTTCAACTGAGTTTCTCTTCCCACAGGAAGCTTAAAGGAAATAATACTATTGCTTACGTATATAAGATATTTGGACCAATTTTGCTGCTTCTGTATAAGTTTATGGAACAGACCGTTTATGTTTCAACGCAGACAAACAAATGAGACACCAAAGCAAGCCAAGGTCTCAGAATCCATGATTTTTTTCAGTATAATGGTGGGAGAAGTTTAACAAGTAGTTGCTGTCTGAACACATGACACCTGTTCATATTTTCGACAAACAACAGCTTCAGCTTAGTGTTCTAATGAACCATGTGATTTTGAATGGGCAACTATAAACGTTAGCGTCCGATCATATTGATGTAGCGTAATTATAGTGTTATACGCAGCAGAAGGTACACTTATTTTCGCGCTGTGGCGTTCTTTAGTTGTATGAGCTGTTGTTAGCCCAAGTATGCCGTGCTACCTTGGGGTTAAACTGGCGTTGGATCAGCCCAAGTGAGATGTTCTGTATCCGCCATGATTTTCGATTATACCGGTGAAAGTGGTTGAGTGTGGTAGTGAAAGTTTCAAACAGGACGTTAAAATAGTGAAGAAACAGCGTTATCTGTGTCTTCTCGATAGAAATAACCGTTAACTGCCAAATTTGTTGGTATACATCATTGTGTCTGTGAAAATTCATATATTGCTAGGCTGTCCTAATCTTCTACTGAATCGTCTAGAATACTCATGACGTCCTGAGATGTTGTTTAGGAAGTTGGCCACTTTTCAAGTGTACCCTTAGTGGAACTATGCGTCTGGATCAAGCTGTGAGTCCGCATTAAAACTGGCTGATAAAAACGAGAGAAATTTCTGAGAATCTGGATACTTGTCTGTTCAAATATTTCAAAAGAAACCGTTTGCTTTTCTGTTGAAGTAAACGTCAAATAAATTAGTCTGCCTCGCCATTAGCACACAAAAATTCATGTTTGGTCGTGAAAAATAAATATGTTCTGCTTGTGACCGATTGTCTGTGATGAACGAGTACCATGGGCATGTCTTTCCTAAAGATTTAATATGTCTGTATGGTCTGCTATTTACTTTCCAAGCCTTGCTGCGAAAATGTCTGTGATAGTAGTGTTATATAAACTACCCCTGAAACCTACATGTTGCATTTGCACGTTAAATTCTAATGACAAAACACATGTATGGTTCGACAACCGATTTCCTCTTCTTGCATTCGGCTTCGCATAGATATTGCTCTAACTTTGAATCAAAGAGGTGCGTTCAGTGAACAACTGTTCGTTGAGTTTTGCTAACAGTGTAGTGGCAATGACAGTGAACTCCGATAGTTTGGCTTTCTTTGCTTACTTTGGTTCTACAAACGTTTTTGTCGATTCATTGCTAAGGAGACAGCAAAGTTTGTTCGGGAATAAATTATGGGATACCTGCATACTGTCTGCTTTATATATTTACGCTAAAGGAAATAGATGGTTAAAGTGACCATAGTGTTGTAGAAACTATGGCACTGTAATACCTCCAGGGTAACTGGAATTGTGGTACTAAGCATTAGTTGCATGTTATTAGTACTGATCAGTTACCCGTGGGAGGTGTTCTTGGTTCTGGATCATTTGATGGATTCCATATGATACAGCGAAATGAATGAGTAAACGAGTCCAAATGTGAAATTTCTGAGCTCCTCGTGTGGCTCCGTAGCTCACTTGGTAGAGCGCTCCTCTCGTTCAGGCATGGTGTTCCTGTCGCTGGTTCGAATCCAGTCAAAGCCTTGACTTTTCACAGTTGGGTCTCATCTACCATAATACGCCTGTCAAACCACTTAGTAGTAACACATAAATCAGTGTTCAACCATCACCTCTACTGTATCGCTAAGCCCGATTTTCACAACAACAAAAAAACATTACATTAAAAACGGGATAATTTAGAATGATAATAATATAGTCGTTCTACGCTTATAAGTTTCTTCGTTTTTCTCGTGATTAGCTAAAGTGTAGGAATGTGCATATATTTCTGCCCTAGCCACATCCAATATATTCGAGCACAGAAAGGTTTGATGAGTTGTTGTCATTTATTCAACTTCGACGTGGGATCAACGAAGATACTGAGTATCTTTATACAACGAGACAATATTTCTGTGTTCGATTTTATTTTTTCCAGCAAACTTCGCCTCTTCTCATCTACCTACACGACAGTCACGCCTTTGGTGCTGTTCACTTTGTGGCCAATGTGTTGTGTTCTCGCCGGTTCTCTAGCAAACTGTTCGATCACGGCTTGTATATATGGCCACTCGATGTGACTGATGTGAGTAAGAATGCCACTGTTATCACGGAAGCGCGATACTGCACCAAGTTACTGGTCAAGTGTCACCAACCAGATCCTGTGAATGGCATAACGAAGGTTGTGGAGGAGCAACTAAGACAAAGATCTCGCGTGAAATCTTGGAGCCTGATGCCGACCAAACCACTCAGGCATTCAAAACGCTGTCTACCCCAAAGAACCGAAAATTTTGGGCACCTCAAAATGACTTCTGCTAATAATGTGGGTTCCTCAAACAAAATTGCTGAAGTTGATTGGAAAGCAACAGGAAGTTTGGAGTCAGCTGAGAAGCTGTTACAATACTTTGAAGGTCACCCAGCAAATGAGACGTTCGGACATATTTTTAAGGTATGGTACATTATGCTACACTTAGATTTACCGAACAACAACAACAACTAAGAAGAGCATCCAGACATATTTTTTCAGCTAATTAGTGAAAATTTTGATATCCACTTTATATGAGTATGAGTACAAACTGTGGATCATTCTACAATTACACAAAAGCACAGACCCCAAAATGAGTGAAAATAAGAACGTGGCAAAACGTAGAGCACGGCAAATGAATATGAACAAACAATGCAAAAAACGATCGGTCTCCGTCATTTTCACGTCGTTATTATCTGTTTAAGCTCCAGAATATTATTGTCACATTTTTTAAGTAGAAGAATTCAAAACGATTGCTGGAAATAATCACAACAACGTACTCAACAGCATTGTAGCAAGTCGCCTCGATTTGTGTTCATACTGTTGGATGTATCTGGCCCACGACATTCAACAGTTTGATAGAGTTTGTATTGGAAATTACTGTTCATTTTAGCAGCAATAACCGAAATGACCGGTGTGAATTTAGCTTGATCGGTATACACACAAATGAAAACTCCCTGACTACTCACATAACACAGTAGGCACAGCATGAGGAATGCTTTTATTGTGTTTTGTTGAACGTCACTGACACCACCGTGCGTCAATTTCGTAACAGTTTCTCATCTCTCAACGTTTTTTTACACCGATAAGCCCTTTCGACACATTTTGTGCTCTGGCTAACTTAGCGATCGGAATGAACGGGCGAGATCTATCTCATGACAAAAATCGATGAATGTTGCACTTTGTGTAAACTTGTAGGAGTAGAATGATCCGAAGCTCCAACCTGGCATGTATATTTGCTGCAACTAAAATCAGTCTAGTATGAGAGAGGTTTCCGGGTGGTAGCTCGCTGTAAGCTAAATGAGATAAAGAGCATAACGCAGAAGCCGTATATACGGAAAAGTAAAATTTTCACAAATCACGAGCTCCACTGTGTCAACAATGACAATCACTTCCCGCCCATTGGTGGATAGTCCGGGAGTTTGATGTTTACATGTATTACACCCTCACGTGACTGATTTAAGTTTCCAGTCTACCAGATCCAAAACAGTGCGCTGGAACATAGTACCGGTGCATGCTTCAATCAGGCGCTTGCCTTGACGAAGTAAGTGAATTGCTATGCTCTACTGATGCTTTAATTGATACAAAACCCGAGTCTAATGTTTCTTTTTGGGATGTGTCAGACAAACAGTCAATCGTAAGGTCAACACTATAATTGGTGTTCAGCCAATTGTTGTTAATGTTCCTATGATGAATCAAAGCACTCACAATCCACTTCACGCAATATTTTCCCTTGATCTTCATTTCAACACATGCTGAGGTGAGCAGATATCATAGCGTGAGAGTTTATGTCTTAGTGATTTAGTCTCCCGTCCTCGTAAGTCAAGTATAAGCAGAATCCAAGTACGTATTTTTAGTTGTTAAGTACCGATGTTATTTACCGATAGCATCTCGGGCTTAAAGTGGTCTAAACATATGTTTTCTGTATTACCCTGAATCAGCAGCGTGGTGTTTTTATGTACAATGGTCGAAAGCCTTGTCAGATTGGTTACACAATTTGTATGTGTCAGCATTTTTCTACCTTGGTTTCAACTCCTACCAGCTGTTTTCGCAAACCTACCGATGGATGATTGGGAGGTATTTTTCAGATATGCGATCTCTCATTGCAAAGTTGATAGATTTTGACAATTAAAAATCCCCAGGATAGTCATTACAAAACAATAGTGTAACGAACGAGCTCGTTTTCGATTATTCGTTATCAGACTAATTACATAACCTTCATATGAAACAGGGTTGTCAGGTCGAGACGAACAAAAACAAGTAGCAAGTTCAAGTGAAGGCAGACACATGGTAGGCAGACAGGGAGACAACGTTTTGATGCGATTACGTCAAAATTATGACACAACTTGAACCACGGCGCTTTGATCGGTCGCGGTGTGGGTGGTTGGCCATAGCAACTTCAACGTCTGAACAAAGCGATCTTGTGCGCATAAGAGTGGATGATGATGAATAACCGAAAAACGAGCTTGTTCGCTACACTATTGCTTTTCTTGGTGGTTTTCAACGATCACTGCCATACTATTCAAAACATCTGGAAGATTGTGATAAATCTACTGGTGAAGTTACTTCAGACGCTTCTCATCCTCTGCATTTAGACCTATCCTCGCAGTACAACGACCTCACCTACTACATGCATGTTTATTCCTATTTAAATTCTGAGTTGAAGTTTATTGTACGCTCCTCCCTGTTCTAATTCTAGATGACAAACCAACACATTGTATGATCGTCCTCTAACCTCAGTAATCAAACGATTACTTAGCTTTTATGCTATCACAATTCAGGAAAAGAAGTGTGCCTCATGTTTTTCCTCTATTTCCTAAAAGTTGATTGAAGTCGTCCATAAGACAACGTTGAATTTACGCCTTTTGGACGAAAGAACTAGTAACTTGACCTGACCTGATTTGCTCATAGGCTGAAGTGATAATCATAAATCAGATGTTTGTGAAACAACTCGATTGTATTTTCCGATTTCAGATACCTATTCTGCCAACACTCGTCAACGTCTACTACACGAACAAAATGTTTTGTATCACACACATTTTGTTACCCTCAGCAACGACGAAAGAGGCAATGAGCTGGTTGAGCAGCGTGCTGAAATTCTTTAATCGCATGAAACCACGCGCCGGTTAGAATGGGGATGCAAGTCAAACGCAATTTGAGATGCAAACTTTGTTTACATACTTTCAACAGTTTTCTTTTCCATATGTTCAGTCACTGAGTTTAAGGTATACTTAATATAATTGAATGACTTGAAGAGGTGAATAAAACCGCAAAGAGTATTCTTTTTACTCCTCACAAACTATCGAATGATGCAGTTTGGCGAACCATCGTGACGTGGAGAACATTTACACGAATAAAATCTAATGTTTCACACTACTAAATACCTAGAAAGGAAGTACTTTCTGCTGGCCAATTTGGGTATCAACCTTCAAAGTAACCACGAAAGTACAACTGGTCATTAACGTGTTTCGCTACTAATGGTTGACCAGTTAATGATGTAAACAATACTGTTTACTAAATTTAGTTTGGAACGGGTATTTTTCGCCTAAAAATAAACTTCTCTTTATTGGAGGATGCGATGTACGGTGTATACGCTGCTCAACTAAACTACTTCCCGAAATCAACATCAGTTCTCAGGATGTAATGAGGGCGAGTCCCAAAATATTAGGAAAAGTAGTGTTGTGAGGTGCGATCGTACTATACCACTCACACCACTGCTATTCAGTAGTGGAGCCAGAGCACATATTTTAACATTGAAGTAGTCGCAGAAAAAATACAAGAAGGAACATCGGAGTGCATCATCGCATGAGATGGTTCTCGGTACGCAAAGGAACGTAAAGGAACTGAGAATTGGCGTCTGTGACCACCGTGACAATCCGGGCCAAATACCGTGCGCAGATGAGTGTTTTTGTTTGTTGTCATGTTTAACCGCATAACCCATATGTTACTTTCCTCAATAAATGACCCTTGCGCCATCCGAAATATTGACTTACAACAATTGTGGTCTTGATTGGAGGATGAAGATCAAATGGCCGCAGCCGTTTGCGCATGGAGAAGTCCGGAGTTCCTTGAAGGACTTCCAGAACATGGCTGAGATAGTCGGGGTCAAGACCGACCGAGGAAAGCTGACGGCCCTGCGGAT